TAAATGTATATGATATGTAGCATATGTTTCGTGAATTCATTCGTGAAAATGTACTATAGATTTGTACCACATCAAAAGCACAACGTTCTATCGATTACAAATCTATAGAAACGTTAACTTATGTATATATATACATAATATATATATATATACCCATGTATATCTATACATAGGTTTATCTACATATGTAAAGTAAAACCTAACCGCAAACTCGAACGGCAGTGGTTCCAAAGCATTACTCGAGTTCTCTCTCTCTTCTCTCTCCTTCTCTCGAAATATATATGCTCGCTTCATATGTTGTTTACTTTTTTCTCAATTAGTTTAGTACGAGCAGACAGATCGATCAACCACGACGTCGGTTTCGAGTATATTAGTAAGTTAGGAGTGACCACAAATACCGACTCTTTTTTAGTCCATAGTAAATGTATCATCTCGTCGAATTTTCTTTTCTTTTTTTATGAAAAGTGAAAATAAAAATACTCCAGAAAATAATCGGATAGTTTTTAGAAACTACTCGTAATTTATCGATCATCGATAGTGCCAATTAATAGCAAATCCAATACTTGATAAAACGTTTTTCTTTTATCAAATTATTTGTAGGAAGTAGAAATTAGATGTGTTGGAATATATAACTCAGATTCAAGAACGAAAATCAATCTCTTTGGTTCTCTTCTTTCTTATCTAGAAAACCATAGTTTATTTTAACACGTATAAACTTGCATGCTGTGGAGATCGGATGACGTCATAGATGTCGCCGATATAGAGAGCGAGTCATATGCCTAATATGTGGGGACCTTTGTTCCTTTTTCTTAGTCTATTAGAAACAGCCCTTCGGTAAAGACGTGCCATTCCTTGTGCACTTAAATATTAAAGTTTTCTGGTTAAAATTATATTTTGTGTTAATTTTCATTTAGAAGAACCCAATAATCCTACAAGATATATAATAGAGTTAAAAGAAAAAGAGATAGATTTTATTTTATACTTATCTTATGTTAGAGCTAGAAAAAATAAATTGTCCATGCGCTCATCTGTAAACATTGTTGTGTCATTAAAAAGAGATGAATTATGTATATATAATAAACGAACAGTCGAGAATGTAGCAGTTTAGAACAAACAATCAAATTAAAAGAACGAACCTTAGGATGATTTTTATTGATAAATATTTTATTACTAAACAAGAGACATCGTGGATTAATTTGTTAGTTTAAGATAGTGTCAAAGATATTGTTATTATTTTATTCTAATATTCATAAAAGCAAACATAAATATTACAAAATAATGAATGAAATGTTTGGAGGTTTTTAATTAAAGATATATACAGAAACGTAGAAACAAGAGAAGAGAACGAAAAATTGAGACAAAAGGATGTTTAAGTCATTTAATTTTATCCTACAAGCTGTCTCTTTTTTCCCCTTCAATTAGAAAAATAATAATTTTCTTTCACCCAAGTATCTCCAATTAATTTTCTTTTTTTTTATCTATAAAAGCCTAATTAGTAATTTTGGATTCAAACTATTTTCGATCTCCTATTCGTACACGTTATCCGAAACTTTAAAAATATTATCCGGCCATTGATTGATGCATTTCCATTACTTAAATTTTCGTAAGTCCACTTTGTAAATATACATACGTATGTGAGTGTACTTTCACACGGATTTATACTGACTCATATTGATTCACACGGATGTTCATGCGTGCATTCGGAAAACTATGCATACGCGACTACTAGAAATGATGATCTCTTTTGAAAATTTCTATGAATTTTCACGTATAACAGCTTTTATTCCTGCATCGTACACCTGAGCCATGCAAAAAGCTTCCACTTTCCAGATTTTATTTTTTATACAGAATAAGCTACCAATTTATAAATCATAAAAATGTTTAATGCACTTTTATGAATTGTAAAAATAAATTTGATTAACATTTTTCTACAAACGAGATTAGTGGATTAATTTATTTAAAGAAAAAAAAATTTTTAATTAAAATTATAATACACAATGCAATTTCTTTTTACTGTTACATACCGCCATACATACTTAGTGCGTTTCTAATCCCTTCCTATAATTACCTTGATATATATCTTTTTTATTTTTTACTATTTTTCTTTTTTCTTTTTTTTTTTTTTACATATGAAGAAATATATTTTATTTGTCTATAATAGATTGCTGCTCCAATTCTTATAAAAGGTACTCGACATGTACCTATTTCGAACGGTAAAACCGATCTTTCTTTGTCTTTCTCTCTCCTTCTTTCTCTATTGCTTCATTTACTCTTCTCTATTGGTCGAAGTTCCTCGGACACGAGTTCCAATTACCGCCAATCGGAATTGCCTCTGTTTCTAGCGGCCAACACGAAGAATCTTACGTGGCACGTCTGAAAGCGAACTTAAAGGATTGATATTCCTTGGTTACCTGACTAAGATCGTCTTGATCTACGGCACGTCCTTCGGGATTCAAGACGATATAGTTCGTTAGAGAATCGTCTTTCCTTTAACGACTCACAGACTGTTACTGTGTTCGACGATATTCCTAACGATCACTCCTATGATTCATTCTTTTCATCATTTTCTCATTAATGCAGCCTCTTGAAACTTGAACATTTTCGCAAGAGATTTACCATAAGAACCGAATCGCATGAGCTTTAAATTTTACAGTGAAATAACAAGAAAAAGCACTCGTGCGAGTGTGTGTGTGAGAGAGAGAGAGAGAGAGAGAGAGGAAGAAAAATAACAAAATCGAAAGTCGTATCAATTCATTGGTTGAATCTCTCCTTGTCGGAACCCTACTCTCTTCGCCAAACTAACTTTACTCCATTGATATTCCTGTAGTTTTCCACCAAGTGGTTAGTTCTTCCTACTCTTGCCTTCGTTTCTCCCTTCCTTTCTCTATTCCTTTCCGTTACTACGAGGGATCGACCGAACGTAGTACAGTCGTTTAAAGGGTCGTACCCAAACCAATGTAGCCAATGGATACTTCCGATCATCCCCTCTAAATAGACTCGTCCTGACTCAAATCGAGGAACTTATGGTTCCTCCTTAGAGTACCATCGTCTTTTCCTCGTCGCAGGAAGAAGGGTCGAAGAACCTCTCTTCCAACCAAAATAAAACGAATCCCTTCTCGAATCACTTCTAGAAGAGACATAGTAGAAGACAGAAAAAGAGAAAGAGAAAGAGGGTGARAGTGAGGGAGAGGGAGAGGGAAAGGGACAGGAGGCGTGGGAGGTAGAGGGCTTGGAAAGAGATCTCGATCCTACTAAGATCCACCTTCTCCTTAGTCCTTAAAGTCTACCATCCCACAACGATTAATTTTACCATGGTAGCAGCTTCGTGGCATGCCCTTTTGACGATTCTACTTTAAATTTCATCGGTGAGTGCCTCTCGAAATGGGCGATGACACGAAAGGAAAAGTAAATCTCTGCTCACTACTTTCGCTTAACTTTGCCTTTACTAGACGTACTCTTTTTCCTTTTTCTTATTCTTGTTCTTATTCTTATTCTCCTTATTCTTATTCTTATTCTTATTCTTATTCTTATTCTTATTCTTATTCTTATTCTTATTCTTATTCTTATTCCTATTCTTATTCTTGTTCTTATTCTTATTCTTATACTTATTTTTCTTGTTTCTTTTGTTCTTTTTTTTGGAATTTTTTCTATCGTGTAAAGAGAATAGACCTACTTGGTTCTCATAAAAGTCGAATATAAAATATTGAGCTTTACTACGAGATGAATCAGTTTGCGATCATCGTTACGACCCTCTTTGATTCATTTTTGGAAATGGAAAGGGGATTACATTTTTGCAGGCGTTTAAGGGAAGACGAATGAATGGGCAGATGCAGGCAGTTCGAACCGAAGGAACGTTAGCTTTCTCTCTCTCTCAACGATTAAGGTAGTAGAAAGAGTACGAGAGGCCCGGAAGGATGATGGCCGCTCGTTTGTCTTAATAAACTGCGTCGAATCCACGCTCGCTGTGGTGCTTGACTTATGGCCAGTCATCTGGTAGGGCGGCTCTACTCATGAGAAATCTTCTCTCTTTCTTTCTCTCTCTCTCTCTCTCTTTTCTTCTTCTCTTTTTCTCTTCTTCTTTCACTACTCTCCTATTTCTCTTTCTTAGCATCGTTAGTCCTCGGAATATTCAGAAAGGTTCGAGTAATCATTAACCCCTCTTCGATTCATCTATCAAACCAATAAGTTCTTTGTAAACGATGTATAACATTTGTCATTATGACAAATCAAGACTCCTTACGATTATATTATCTTTTATAGAGTTTAACCCCTATCATCGAATATTGAACAAATCTATCTATCATTTTTTTTATAAGTTTGCTAACACCATAATTCTCGCCACGTCGGATTTTCGTGATATTCTCAAAGGATTAGAAGAGAATAATAGAATTAAGTATACTTTATTTTTGTAATGTAAATATATAATGGTATAATTAAAATTCCTTATTGTTGAAAAATAAAGTTTTTCGTTCGTAGTATTGTTTAATAAATTATGATATTAAATAATTTTTATTCGTCGATATCAATTTTATGTTCATTATTTAAATACTTAAAAAGTTCCAATTACTGAGGATCAATGTGTTAACTCTTATTATGTATTATAAATACCAATATTTTATCAATGTGATTTTCAAATTAAAAAAAAATATATATTGAAACGGAATTAAAGAGTTGTGAAATGAAAAAGAAAAAGAGTGCGATAGAGATCGGTTGAACGGATAAAAATTATTCGTTATTGGTCGAGGCACAAGAAGGCGTCAGGTTAGATCATTTTTCTTTGGACTTGCTTATGGTTCACTACTTAGGCAACAAGCGAGGTCACCACGTCATACCGGTGCTCGTTGACGATTTATCATTTATTTGTATACGCGAGTTGGGAAACTAGGTCTCTCGCCTCGCTTATGTAAACGGTGAGAGCGCACGTACGGGTATAGTTCATCCTGGAATGTTTAACTTTGCCGATGGCAATCTTCGTTGGGGTAAGTGAGCAGGAAAAAATGTAGTAACAGGCGAATATAGGGAAAAATGTATAGGTGGAAAGGGAGAACAAGAAGTGACATGATGGAACAGCCCAAGCACGATAGAGCTTTCTGTCTTATAAAATTACGTTACGTAGGAGAAACATCATTTAATTAATTTTCTTTCTTTCTTTCTATATAGTACAAAGACATTGCAAAGTACTCATGACATCAAGATTATTATGTTAAAAGTTTCTTTTAAATTATGAAACTAAATATATTTTGAGAAATTATCAGTCGATAGATCTTTGTTTCGTTAAAAATATATAATGTTCAAGATGATTACTGATATGTTAAGGTAAATTTATAAATCGTATGAAAAATAATCGTAACATATAATGTTTTATTAGGGAGTATAAACAAAAAATAAATTATTCATTTTATAATTATAAGAAAAGTTAAGTCGTGTAAGTAAGTTCGTGACGAGTTCATTCATTTTTACTAATTAGACAATTAATTATTTAAAAAATCGTTCATTAGCCAGATTAAAAAAGTCTACATGTACAAGTAATGACTTTTCGCAATTTATCTTTATACAGTTTCGAGTAATCGATTGAATAAAATTTGAAAAGTTAATTAATTTCATCTCTTTTCTTTTACAGAAGCTCTGCCATCTGCAAAATCGGAAATTGACAAAATTCAGCAACCACCCAAGTTGATACTTCCAAGCACGTGTCATCACGCATATACATCGTGCAAGTAAGCTTCAATCCACATCGTACGCGCGTCATAATTACACGATAAGCGATTAACTTCGAATATTCCATTATTAAAACTGGAACTAAAGCTGTAGTTTATTAATAATATAGTAGACCGATCTATACATTTACTCAAAGATAGAGAGAAAGAGACAGAGAGACTGGAAGAAACAAGGACCAAAAGCATCCAACATAGTCATAGTAGAATAGAATGGTCATTTTATCATGAGTCTAGATGAGATTTATCGCGCTTAGTTGCATTCAAAGGCATTAACTACAGTATCGTTTATTTAGGAACGACCCGGAGTGCAAGGAATTATTACAGCCGGTCCTGAAATACTGTGGTTTGACGAGCTGCATGAGAAATGAATGTATGACAGCCTTACAACATTTCTATAAAATGGCTAATCACAAGCACTCCATCGAAATAGCTTTCTGTTTGTGCCGGTGAGTATGGACCTGTTTATACGATTCTATGAATAAATACTAATCTGCGTAAGTGCTTATTATTTAGTTTCGGCAATAATCATTTTCTCTGTCTCATAAATCTAAAAGCGAAAATTAATAAAAGGTACATGATTATTGTTTAGTAAGTACATTTATTGTTTTTCTTATATCGTTTATTATTATTAATATTAATCAGTGTTTATATTCAAGCCTATATATATATACATAAACGTAATAGGAAGAACAAATAATACTAGTCGAGGCACGATCGAGCGATGATATATTTCCGAGACGAACGCAACATGTTGATAGAACGTCAGCGACAGCCGCGACAACATAGGTACAATAATATACGCGTGAAACCCAGTATGAATTAGGCGCAACGTGCTACTACTCGATGCAAAAATTTCCATAATGTTCTATGTGTATTCCCATATGAGTATACGGTCAAACGAATATAACGTTACAACGGACTGATTCGTAGGACAAAACGCGAACTAGTTCGATTTCAGGAATCATGCATTGTGCTCAATCAGAAGCCAATCAAAAGCATCCGGCTTACGAATTGCCGTCGCGTCAATATCATCGTACGTTGTTACACACGTCAATCCATCCGCAGAAAGATAGATATAACAGAATCAACGATATCGTAGATTACGTCACGAATGAAAAGTATAAACGAATTGATGGTCATCAAGCTATCATCAGGCATTTTGAACAGGGATTCCCTTTCGATTTATACGACCTAAAGATATCTGTATTAAAACGCATCGTCAAAGTTACGATATCATTTTGAGTAACGAGCTTTTACGAACTTGTACGAGGGTTGTATTTTATTCATGAAGACATTCAAGGCGAAGTAAATTGCCAGGTATAAATCTGTTCTAAGTACTTAAGAAGTGATATACTATAGCGGAGCGTTAATATTCTTCATTTGTAAACTCGCGTTCTTAGCGTAAGGTTTGTTTTGCAAATCATGCAACAGGTTGCTTTCTAAACTTCTATAAACGTCACGTATCATAATGGAGAGTTTCAGACGAAAGAGATCGCAAAAGGAATCCTCGACATCTTTCATTCTAAATAGTACGCAACCACAGAAGGATTATTATTTCATAGAAATGTATTTGTAAAATAGAACGAGTTTGTATATCGTATCGTTCGTTGATAAATCGTCAGTTGTACAAGCGATGGTAAATCGTTTCTTTTAAAAAAAAATATACGAATGAAATAAAGAGGAAGAGACAAAAAAATAAGTTAAAAAAAGAAATAAAAAATTTATCCCTTTGGCAAATATACCATGAAGTATTATCGACGAGTCGACAAACCGATGCATAACATTTTTATTTAATCATCCTTTCAATTAACGCGATCGTGTTGTACAGAAAGGCCGTATTTTCACGGTTGACGGAACGCTCAATCACTATCCAATCAAATTGCACAGCTTTCGAGCAACGTTCTACGTGGCTCACCCCAAATCCAACAAAACGAAGTTGGTGTTCGTGTCGGTTGATGATCACTGCATGCTACAACGCGATCTATTAAATCTGTGAAATACCGTTGGATGCAGCTAACGTAAAGCCGTGATTATCAATTTTCATTAAAGCTGTTTTACGCATTCGCGGCTTACCCGTGATAGAAATTTTATTAAATTTTCTTCCTTCGATCGTACAACAAATGAGCTAGAGGAAAGAGTTATAGGGGGAGGATAAAGCAAGGAGAAAATAAGAGGGAGAGAGAGAGAGAGAGAGAGAGAGAGAGAGAAAAGTTTTGTTGCCATGATACTTAGGTAGATTTATAAATATACGTGTATGTATATAAATTTAAATCTACGTGGACATGCAGGACGATGATAGGATGAAATCTTTCATATTAATTTGCTTGCCTAATGCATCCCATCTCCGAAATTTAACGACGCTGCTAGCTGGCGCTAGCTATTACGGAATGCACATTATGAGACATTGGGTACATTAGGGTTGTAAATGACGATTACAACACGCCGCTCCGACCATCTCATTACGAGAGATAATGTACCCTTAATTCATTCGCGTGTTCTCGGTTTACCGGTCTAATACAGAATACTTTTAAGAATAAAAGAATTTATGCCATTTTCCCGGATAAAGATATTTAAATTTTGTTGTTAATATTTTATGTTAGTTGAGTTTTTATTATGTAAGCGATACTTATTTTGATATTATAAATATATAAAAATCTACGCTTTAATTAGGTTGTCTGTTTTAAATTACTGTCCTATTCCAATTCAATTTCAATTATACTTACATGGCACATAAAGAAAAAAAAAAAAAAAGAAAGAGAGAATGAGAAAAAGAGAAAAAGAAGGAGAAAGAGAAGAGTGGAGAGTTTGAATGAGTGTGTGAGTGTGAATGAGTGAGAAACAGGGAAGCTGTATTTGATGTCCTATACTGAATTCATAAAAGCCGCACAAAAGCGTCCAATTAAAGGTCAATCGAGCTGTCTCCATTGAAATGGCAATATACCTTCCGCAATAACCATGTAAACTGATATTAAAGCGTGAACACGTCAGAACTACGTAATAAAGTTTTTACAGAAAATCGAACATATATACGTATATATTGTACGTGCATATCTACATAATCAACATTAATCGGAGTTGTTTCAAAGCTAAATACTACTTTGCATTATATCTCAATAAAGATTGCATTAAAAATGTTTGCATTCAAATTAACCATCAATTTAAAACGATTTCCATTGAATAACTACGCATATCTAAGCAATAAAAAAAAATCTGTATTCATTTTTTTTATTTATACAAATTGATTTATTTTTATTTAGAGTTTGAACGTACAAATCTGTGAAATGATTTTCACATCTCTCAGTTCGGCACGATTAGTCAGACCTAGAAGAGAGAAAGAATAGGAATGAGGCATTCGTAAAAGTTCCGCATCAGTTAGTAGATCCCATGAGAATGCGGAAAAAGGAGGCTGGATAGAGGCTTATCCTTTCTAACGAGGCTTCTATAACTTTTAAGTGGCTTTCGCCAGCAAAACAATGCGAAAAGTTTCCTTCCTCGTCGTTTTCCACATTTTGGTTTATTTTCTTCACCTTCTTCTTCTTCTTCTTCTTCTTCTTCTTCTTCTTCTTCTTCTTCTTCTTCTTCTTCTTCTTCTTCTTCTTCTTCTTCTTCTTCCCTACACACCTCCTCCTCTTCTACGTCACTACTCATTCTTCCATTCGATCTTTCCTTTCTACTTTGTTTCTTTTTTCCAGCGGCCTTCTATTTCCGTTAGTCTCGGGCCATCTTTTTATTCGAATTAATTTTTTTCTATCTTTATTTCTTTATTTATATGATTATTTTATTTATTTTCGTTTCTATTTCCTATTTTGCGCAGGAATGGATACGTATGCTTGAAGATTTTTAGTGAGTTGACTAAATAAATTTTAATTTTTTCTCTCTATTTTCATTTCTTTTTTAATCAATAAAAATAATTAATTTTAAATTTATTATATCACATTACTTACTGACAGCGAATTAAATGAATACAAGCTATGTAGAAAAATACATACAAAATGTCAGTTAAGTTAAACTCGAATTTGTCGATAATATGATTTGGTTTATTTGGATAAAATAAAATAACAATCTACGACATCACATTTCTTCTGCAAATTGTTAATAATTATAAATAACAATATTCAGAAAGCTGAGATAACAAAATGGTTTTATATTTTAATATCACTAAAATAATATTAAACATAATGAAATATAATAAAAATTTTTCATTAAATGTTATGCAATAACAATTAAGTAGAATCAAGTTTTAGTGAATTAATCAATAATCGAGATCATTGTAAAGCGTATTTTTAGGCTATCAGTCAATAAATGCTGGTAGTGTAAATCTTATTAATTGATTGCTAGTAAACAGTGTATTAAACAGTAGACTCCCATATAAAATAAGTTTCTATAATGCGTCAAAGATACATATTCTAACTATTGTTTTAATATAATACGATTGCTCGTAGAACGTGTCATATAATAAAATACGATAATTACCCGCATTCCCAAATTAAATTTATTTTAACTGAGCATTACATTGTGGTACTTGTCTCTATCTATTTCATCTCTACCGTAATTATAATGTTTTGTTTTCTGTTAATTTCTACCGCTTTATTATCAATAAATAGTTTTCAGATGGGAAGAATTTTCTCAATATTTAACATATTCAAGACGGGTGCCATTTTTTCGAATATCTTGCTTTTGGGAAGCACTTTTTTGGTTAGTTTTCCCACTGAACGCACCTTGATTTGAATTAAATGCATTTTATTAATACCATCAATGTACCACCAATGGTACAAGCCGACTTATAGAACAGTCATGCATGAACTATCAGTAATAGAAACCGTTCGATGAGAAAATCAAACATGTACCATCGGTTTTAAATCCCAATGTGAACGTATTAAATATTATAGTATTTTATTTGAAAATACGTTTTCATAAATTATTATTAGAATTATTTGTTAAACAAAAAAAAACGCGTTATAGGAGGAACCTTTTTATGTATAACGCCAACTCATATTAACCACGTTATACTGGAGTCTATTATATTTTATTTATTTATTTTTCTCACGTTCTCTATTACACAAGGACGCACAATCTTATTACATGACACCATCAGGGAGGTGACTAAATAAATATCGAACGATGAGAAAATAAAAGAGAGAGAGTGATATGAGGCTTAACTAGGAAAAGCTGAATAAAATACGTAGCCAAGTCGTTTAATGCTCGCTGAACAATACCCACCTCGCGATATACCTCTTTGGGAATTCTTCTCGTAAGAATCTCTGGGAATAAGCTCTCGTTTTCTGCGAAAAGATGAGACATGAAGGAAGGCCAGAATAAGTAGAGAAAGAAGAAGAAGAAGAGAAGAGAACAAAATGGAAGAAGAAATGATATGCTCTTGGTCTTCCCTTCTGTTTCAAAAGGTGCTTTGTCTTGCGGTAAATTGGCGCGTCTGCACGATTCGTTTCGGATTTACCTCGCGTTATTTTTTTACAAAGGCCTCTGCACAAGAAACGTTGCTGTACCTATTCCCTTGAAATGTGGTCTTTGGAGAATCCTCTTCGCTTCTCTTCTTGGACATTAAACTTGCGAACCTAACTTCGTGTGTGTGTGTGTGTGTGTGTGAATTATTATTAAACGTATTTTTCGACCCCTCATTACGAGTTTAGTAATTAATTTTTAAATAATAATTATCTATTAATTCGTTTCATTTTTAGGAACAAGTAATCACCATGTATTAACAATCTTAAAAATATTTAAAATAATTTCAATGATAACAAGATATTTACTAATAATAAAAAAATAATTTTATAATTTCATTTTAGATTTATTATATATACATTTGCTTACGTCGATAATGACATCAGAAGGTTAACAATTATCTAAATAGTATATTCTGTTTCTATTTTATAGAAAAACTGATGGCAGGAAAGACGAGTGCATAATTGCTCAAGAAAAAATGCATCCTGCATGTGCGCAACGTGTAGAAGGTGTTGATATGCCAACATGTCACAGTTTAGCAGAAATTTGCAAGAAAAATGAAGCCTGTCGGCAAGTATACATTTTCTATGATTTGAGTAATTAAAACTATTTTCATTTTTCACTTAAAATTGCTCGATCTTGCTATGTCCTATTGAGGTTTAATTAGTTCATTAATATTTTATAATGTTTCATATTCCGTCAAAAAAATTAAGTTAAAACGTTCAGTATCTTTTTATCGACTTTATCTTCAAATTTAAATATATACTTCCGAAAAAACTTCGCAAATAATTTCACCGTAATAATTAAAAAATGATCAGTATTTTTATACTACTTAAATTTCAAATTTTATACAATAATGTATAATGACGACTTTAATAGTTGATATAGTTAGACGATGAAAATAATTATTCGACAATTTGAATTCTTTATTCGAAAATTTCATGCTAAATAAATGTATCTTTAATAACTGTAATATAAGATGACCCATTTACATTTGTAAAATTGGTCGCCATTAAATCAGAGATAAAGAAGTGTATTTTTGATAACTAACAATGTTAAAAGTACCTTTGACCTACATAAATTTTTAAAATTCATCTCATTTAGAATATGGATGTGCTGTTTGCAAAACTCCCTTCGTTAAAAATCTCTTTTACTTTCTCTTTTTTCTTTCGTTTTATACCTCGTAGACGAACAAATATTCACGTTGAAAAGATTTCTTGTGAAGTTCAGTGCTTTTCTTAGTTACTAAGATCTTTATTACTCGTGTTTGAAAATGCAGCTGAATTACAAATTCTTTCGGTACGTTTGTTTTTAGAAACAATTGACTTTAACCCTACGTCGCGCCGCATTAAGCTTTATATTTTATCGAAAAAAGAAACAATGCTTTTTGAAGGAAAATTACCTTAGGGCATCAGTAAATTAGTTTGCAAAAAGAAAGAAAAAAAAAACAAAACAAAATCAGAAACTTAGATGATATGAAGAAATAAAATACCTATTATTAGTGATAATAGTAAAATGCAATGTGAATATATCTAATAATATATTATTTATATTAATATATATAACCATTGTCGCTAATATTACTTACTTTATATAAAACCTACAACAAATTTTTGTCTGGTACTCTTAATATTTTAATAACACTTTAATAAGATTAATAAAATGTATGTGGGGATATTTTTTTCTGGAGAGAGAAAATTAATATTATAATTAAAAAATGAATAACATATAGTGATATACTATGAAGTATATGGTAATTGATTAAAGGAAAAACAAATAAGAACAGATATTGTTCCCTTTCTTAGATAAAATAAATCCTATCGTATTAGACTTCTTTTAATTTTCTTATTGACTAAGATGCACGCTTAGCTTTTGATCGATCGAATGACTCATTAAATTTATCCAAACGATTTTTCTCTTCTCCCTTTTGCTCGACTTAGGAGTCACTTAAGAAATTTTAAAACCGCCGCTTTTTCTCTAATTACTCAAACGACGGGCTCATTTAGGGAAACGTCTTGACGTCCCTCTTTTAATTCTCTGATTAATGAATCAAGTAGGGTCGCATTTTTCCCTCTTGAAATCGACGAAAAATCGTTCCAATTCTGTCCTTGTGTACTCACTTACAAGTAATAGCAATTCATTTATCGTTAATCAAACTATCTAAACATTATTTTAATTCTTCTCTTTTCTTTTTTTTTATGTCTTTTCTGGAACATTTAGCTCAAGATTGGAGCGTTACGAACAGAGTTGTGCGGTAGACAGCGTAACTAAAAAATGTGCTGGACCACCATCAGATTGTAGAAAAGCGATGCTGGGTATACTTGGTACCGAACTTCGTTCGAATTGCGCTTGCAAAGGCACCGACTTCACGCAACTCTATGACTGCCTTGGTTGGCAGAGACTCCTTTGGGTTAACCCGTGTGTAGGTAAGTTAATTAAGTTCTAGAGACACTCTAAGCGCTCTATGTTATGCATGTACATTAGCTGAAAACCAGAATTGTAAGAGATATATATATATTATCATATTCTCGTAATAAGTTTACACGTAATCGGCTTTTCAGAAATAACTTTTATTTTCCTCTGCAAAGTTATTTTTTAACCTCTATCTTGTACTTGTATAAATATTAAAAATATCATATTTTGTTATTATTTAATTAAAAATTATATCAAATGTACATAAATATGTATTGTACATTGATCTCATTTGTATGACATTGACGTTTGAAAATTGCTTTATATTAATCAAGAGAATCGGCATTATTTAATACGTATTGTTGTCATCATAATCCAAACATATTCGACTATTATTATTGGATATCGTGACTAGCAAAATCTATTTAAATTCGATCAACAAATTCTATGTTTAATATGTATGCTCGAGCATAGCTAGCCACTTATTTTCAAATTACAATAGTTATTTCCAACTTTGGAAAATATGTTGAGCGAATAACTACCAAAGGAACAAGTTGTTTATCAATACCAACAAGCATAATATTAGTATATAATTATAATTAATAATACTTTATTATAATTGATCATATTTCTTTAAATAATATTAAATTATAATACTGTAATATAATTAATAATACATTAGCTTTGAGATTTCCAAAATTTTACTATCCAAAATATAGATCATTTTATTATCATTGAATGAATCTTATAATTTTGATTAATGTAGTATTAATAACTAAACTTAATTTACGAATAAAAATTATATAAAATTTCGAGGTCACATAATATATAATTTATATTTCGCTTTTATTCCATTCAATTTTATTCTTATTCGATAATATTTTACCCATATCTTAAATAAAATAGGTCAGACTAACAGGATCGATTTAATCCCCGAAAGAAATGGGCTCACAAGTTTATGATAGCTGTAACGAATATTTTATTGGCAGATTAAGAAAAAGAAATTCATTTCGTTCTTTTCAAAATGGGAAAAAGGTATGAAAATATCGACTTAATTTGGTGCAACGCTGTTAGGGGACTTGTATGACTATCGCCTACGGGTTGGTGTCGTGCAATATTTCAGTGTCCAGAGGCTCTAGGCTGATTACAATTTCAGGTGGAACCGTACCACGCCGTCGGGTGGTCCTGCCTACGTTGCTTCACCCTTGCAATGATAGAAATTGCGAAATGAATAATGGAATGTTGCAAACGGTTATATATCATTGCTTTTACGCTCTTGTCGTGTAATAATGAGCATGTTTATGGAAAACCTTGTTGATGGAGGATTGGGAAAGATGAAGAAAAGTGAAGCTTATTTTCTTATCGAGTTTATACAGCATGTTTTAAAAACAAATGATTTAACTTTTAAACGAGCGAAATTTATTAATCATAGTGATGGAGAAGATTCATTTGTCATATTCATAAAACAATTTCTTATCCATACAATTAGTAAAATATGCTTTGAACCTTTTAACTAGGGATCGCGAGTTATGTCGTCATACTACTTTAAAGACAAAGCAAATAAATTTAAAACTTAATATCATTTATTTATTATTATTTATTACATAACAAATATTTATAATCCCTAATTAATTAATAATCACGTAAAGTATAAATTATTACCTTACGTATTTATTTATATATGTACGCTTTTGGTAAATTAGTTTTTCAATTATAGGTATAAACTTTGGTCAGCCAGTATAAAGAAAGAAAATACATAACAAAAATCAAGATTAAAGATTACTATTGATGAATTATACAATGTAGTAGTTTGCTTATATTTCGATCAAAATTTTAACAAGATTTCTCTTATATCGTTCAGTTGAATCTCAAAAGGACTACCATATACGTCGAAAACACCATCACTATCAAAGAACAACGCCGATTGGTACTATACCATCGACACCGATAACGATGACAACATTGTCGTCGACTACGAGAACACATATAAGCATGACGGCGACTACGACGGTCACCGCGGTCGAGCGAGTTGAAGATAATCAACTACCGGAAGTAACGAGGTGGCCGACCACCGAACCCACGGAAACTTTAGAAATTACGACTAACACTGTTAGCACGACACCGAGCACGACTACAACGACCACCACACCTCCTCGTGAGTATTGTCTTTTTCGTTTAACGATTGTTTCTCAGAACGTGTCTACTAAGACAATGTTAAAATATTAAATTATTTCTTAGAGGAAAGAGGAAAAACGTCAATTACATACTCGTGTATCAACAATAATTACAATTGTATCATAAAATGAAAAGTATGTTGATATAATCATGGCTTCAACTAATATTTGATCGACTTCGTCGTTTGCCAAATTGATTAACTCTACAAAATAAAAAGTAGAAAAAAATTGTTAAATATACGTCGTAAAATTATTTATTATTGAACAATCATACAAATCAATTTCATTTGGTCGCGTTAAATCTAATTAGTGAGGACATTTATTTTAAGTATAAAAAATGAAATTTGACATTATTTCTTGAAAATTTGAATTGAGCGTTTTAAAAATGACATTTTGATCATATGTATTTGTATTAATTGTAAGTAATAAATATTAATCTTTTTTCAGGTTTTTGTGTTGTTCAAAGACCGAGACAGAGTCATCAGTATATACGGGAGGGTAAAGGGAAAAGGGTGAGTTAATTATTTCCTTTGACTAATACCACATGCGTACATGTGTACGTAAGTTAATTGTATATAATGAAAGTGTTCTTGACGTTAAGGTTCGTCGAATGAACCTACTCTTATCGATTAACTATGTAACACAATAAACGATCTTGTCGGTAGCTTTATCGTGAAGACGAGCCAGAATGTTCAGAGCTCTGCCAATGTGGCGAAGGTGAAGTTCTTATCTGCAATACGATCTGCGTCGATTCGTCTCCTTGCAAAACGGACTTCGCATACTACAATCATGAGGCCCCAGCCTATCAAGCCCATCGTGGTCCATGCCTTTGCTATAGCGGAGGTTTCATATGTATGCGTCCATCACCTGGTAAGTAAAGCCATTTTTGACGCATTCGCTTGAACATATTCTTCGATCTCTCATGTCGATTTTATCCTTCGACACTTTCTATCCTATATACCATAATACTTTTTCAATATTGAAATAACTACAATTTTTCATATTTCATACTCGTCGTCTCGATATCCACTTTGTCATATGTATATATGCGATATTTTTAGTATATGTAATAAATATGTTTCCTACTGAAAAAAATAAAATAAAATAAAAGAAAGAATATATTTAATAATATATTATTTAGGCGTAGATACATCCAAATATCGGTTCATTTGAAATCTTATATTTCGGAAATATTATTTGAATTTAATAGAAATTTATGGTATGATTTCTTTCACTTATTGTTAATGATTATTAACAAAAAAAATAACGCGTTAAATGTTTAGCTATTATCAATTTATACTAATTACAATTATTACTATCAGATAAACTGGTATATTAATATTTCCAATTTGTGTATAAAAATAATTAATAATTTAGTAATATAATAATACGATGATTGTAATAACGACAGTAATAGTAAAGTTAGTATCAGCGAAAGAAATAAAGTTGAACATAACTATGTAACTATATACTAATACTGTCATATCAGAGGCATAAAATGTGTGTATATGTTATAAAAATGATCTTTTTAATTTATTTTTTTCTCATAACAGGAGCATACAGTATACCACATGGAGTTTTTATGTTCTTGGGATATAGTGAGAAGGATGAGACCTTGCTAAGGCCACACAATAATCTTACGGTTCTAGATGCCGTGTCGTCTCTCGACAATTTTATGAGAGAGGAAGTAAATAATCAGGTAAATTGCGTCAAAACGATATAATACCAAGATAATGGTATGATTAAAATTTGAATTAACAATGATTAACATATTATATTAAAGCAGAAGCCTATGTCGATTCGTTATGGTAAACACTTTTTGTTCTTTTTTTACCCGATAAAAATGAAGTGAAATAAAATTTCAAATTTCTATGAATATAATTAAAGACTTTTCTACTTCCTTCATAAAAGAATCAGCACTTTTAATAATTCTTTGGTATTGGCGAATAATTCACTGAAAATTTGTCGCTTGCAAAGAAGAAAATTGCTTGGAAAAAAAATTGGTAATACGAAGAAACGTGAAATCACGTTGAAACGTTTTTTATTTTCCTTTTACAGACCGTATGCACGCTCTTCCTTTACAATATGACTCGAGAGAACGTGATTGCAGTAGCACGTCTTGGTACGGACAATCCACCCTTAAATAGCAGTCAAGCTCAAAGCTTGCAACACCTCTTGCGAGTTAAGGTAAGCAAATACTAATTCGTCTATTTATACTTGTATGTATATATGAGTTCATTTAAGTCGTTTCATACGAATGATAATTCTAATCAAATATTCTAATCATGCAAACGATAAAAAGAAAATATGTTAACAGCAATATTATGAAATTATTCTGAAATTATTTATAGTCACTATTCTTCTATCAAAATGTTTATGCTTACAAAATATAATGATCATTGAATAGTGTGTACGAAAATCTTGTAGTCGGAAAGTCTTGTAGTCTTGCTGTAGAAAAGTGGAAATAATGTTGAAGTTTTAATTGATAATAGTTCGCGAAACGAAGACTTTAAATAGGTAAGAAATCAAATGAAAGAAAATTCACAGAGTTCTCGATTGTGTTTTCTTGAAACGAACCAAGAAAGACTAAGTAATATCATGTTGCAATAATGAGCTTAAATTCTAACTGCACGAAAATTCTAATTTATTTAAAGAAATCCAACGAACCTAACGCTAAATTAATTCTTTAGAAAATCTTAAACACTTTACTTTTTTGTTACAAAGAGACAAAGATTTTATTATCAACGTTGTAACCACAGTTTGTAAAATTTCTATGTCTTGACATTAAACTTTATTGTAATGCAATTTAGATGAAGTATTTCCTTGTAATAGTTATCTCGTCATTACTACCAATAAACGTGAATAGAGTTCTATTTGCAATATGACAATAAATTCATTTCGAATAGCAATAAAAACAATGTTAACCGAAAATTAGCTGAATATAACATTAAAACTAGCATGATTGTCTCTCTATTGTCACTTCATTGTATGAAAATTACTTTTTCAATTTATATTGTACTTATATAGTAATAATAATAATAATAATAATAATAATAATAATAAATATTTATTTAATAATTTAATAATTAATTATCATAATAAAATTATTCCGATTATTCTATCATCAAGGAAAACACTTTTCTTCTGATTTTATGACTCATTCCTAGACTGCAAATAATCTTTTATTGGCTAGGTCACTACTTTGAAATGTTCCTTGTAAACAAACCGAGACTTCAAAGGTCTCCGCATACTGCTATGTCAACGAGAACAAACCTATTCCTAAACTCCCTTCTTATTGCGACAGTATAAAACCCAGCATCTAACATAGCATTATAATTAATTATTAGATGTAAATATTAATATTGAGAAACCCATTAACAAAATGTGCAAACGGGTAAATGTAGTTATTACTCGCTTAAAGTCTTATGAATGGAGGTAATTAACAACGAATACATTTAATCATCGATATATTCTATGAGCACGCAATTGAAACTCTCGCGTAACAAGCGAGATGTCGATAATGTAAGCACCAAAATCGAACACGCTTCTAATCTTCGGGATTGAATTAAATCGCGTTCATCATTAGGATTTATTCAATTCCCAGGAGAGAAGGAAAATATAGTTAAATATTTGTAGGATGAATTTTCTAACACTAATTGATTTTTAATGAATAAATGTTTTTGTGTTAGTCAATAGTAATATAGAGAACACGCAAAAAGCGATTAGTCAATAAATCGATAAAGAATTTACAACGAATACAAGAAATAATAAGTAAGTCGTGCTTTTTATTTTTTTTTATACGCCTAAAAAATAAGCTCGAATCAAATGAAACATTAAATTGGCATCGAATCGTTTCGAAAATCTGTAGGTGAAAATCCGTCTAATTCGTCCTCATGCATAAAATGAGGGGAGGAATTGAAACGGCTGGATGACGCTCCATAAGGGGTGGTAGTGACGACAAGAGGGTGTAGAGGATTGGGTAGAGAAAGGGAGGATTTCTACCTGCAACCAAAGCCGATTGACCGGCGCAAAATGTCGCGCATTTAAAGTTCCGTTCACATCGAACCGTACGGGATACATCGGCCGATTTCATTGCCGTACAAACGTTCTATACTAGGTGGGCAAAGTAAAATGTTACTTTTAAATTTACCTCTAAAATATTTGGTTGCCATTTTTTATTTCTATACAACGTTTAAAATGATATCAAACCGTCTTGAATCAAAAGGAAAAGAAATCTTAAATGTTTTGCAAACGTATAATAACATTTGAAAAAATACAAAAAAAATTCTATTTCAAAATAATATTGTTAAAAAAAACAAATGTTCGTTGTTGCGATCTAGAATTAATTTTATTCGAAATATTTATTTACTATCTTCAAGAGAGGTCTGTTTAAAATGTTTCACCCTGTATAGGAAGAACGAAGTAGAACGAAGAGAGGAAAGTTAAAAGTATCGAAAGTTTCGAGCGAGTTACGTGAGCTTCCAATGCGATTTCCAATTTGCGATTAAACGTCGACCGATTTGCAATTTGATGGAAGCTTCGCGGATTTGAATGGACACCGTGGGTGCTTGCTATTTCATTGAACGTCACAATACACACTTTTTCCAACTTTGTTTCTCTCCCATTTTCTCCCCATCTATTTTACGTTAATTTTGATTAAATATTGAAGTCGGCATATTGCCGAGTGTTGAATTTTAATCGATGTTACATATGACTTGTACTGATGCGAAAAATATACATATTATACGATTCAATATCATGTTATTTTATTTATTTACTTATTTATTTATCCATTGGAGTACAAACTTTTACTGGTATATTTTCCTCAAGAATCAAAACAATAAATTCTTCTGATTTTGTTATATTAAAAAAACTAAAAATAAAAGTACTCCTATTGATCTCTTTGGATAGAAAAAAAGAATCTATTTTTTCATTTTTTCATAGAACAATGAACGCACATATAAAACGTGTCTAATAAAACGTGTTGATTAAAATTCATTGGACGATCTAGAAAGGAAGTTGAATAAAATTAAATGTTTAAGAAACTTATGTGAAGCATATTACAGGTCAATTTAAAATACAAATTGCGAATCGGCCGAACGAGACTTTGGACAGACACCAAAAAGTCGATTTCTTTGTTCGAATAAATCGGTACGTGCTTCGAAAAGAAAAAGAACTTTTTTCTTTTACCTTTATAATTGGATAACTAATCGTTTTAGAATTATCTTCACAAATTGTCAGTAATCGTCGAGGAAAATTGCTTTGATTATATCAATCGATTCGAGATCTTTTGGAAGATTACTTGCAAGGAAAGAAACAAAAAAATAGTTGATCATCTTTAGATTTGTCAAGTTTCATTCAATTTGATATCTTCTTTGATAGTAGCACAATCCAATAAATCGAATTAATCGACTTCTGAAATTAGAAAATGAATAAATTTTCATTTTAACTATAATAATTTGACAATATATTATTTTTTAAAAAGATAAAATAGAGAGAGGGAAAGAGAGAAAAAAAAAGAAAAGAGAGAGAGAAGCTTTGAAAGATTTTCGAGGAAAGCTCGAAACCACACCAATCATCGGATGACGGAAAATGGTCTGCGCACGGTCTACGAAATGCTTTTACTAGCATCGATGGCAACTTTCCAGCGCTTTACCAGTCGTCGACGAACCATAAATTACATACCCAGGCGGAGTTACTTCTTTTTTTCTTTCTTTTCTTTTGTTTTGTAAATGCGCGACTTTCTTTGAACAAACGTACGATTAAAATCTGTGTACTTAGTGCTATCGCGAAAAATTAATCAGCAAGGACATACTATTGTACTACCATCTTATCTAAGGATAAGAAAAATTGAATATGAATAACATTAATCAATTGTCTTATCCAAAACAAGTACTTGACACAAACGTAAAAAGCTCATATATTACAAGTGATTAGAAAATGATAAATAATTTTATACTATAATAGTAATAATAATAATAATTATTATTATTATTATATAAATTAATCAAGTAACATATTTAAATGAACATAACATTATTTTAATAACGAGTTTGATATTCTTCAAATCGATAATATTAATTGTTCGATTAAGGAGAAGTAAAGGAAATGTTAAATTTGGTCGAAGGATAAAGTTGTTCGGAGATTGAGTAAGTTAGTAAGGAATAAGCGAGATTCAAGAGAAAGGACTTCTCAAATTAGCACGTGTCGTCGATCAACGTCGGTGATCTCTACTATGAACTAAATTCGGCATAGGTATCCGCCTACTCGTAGATAGGACCGAATGAGTTTCTAATAAAGCAATTAAGCGATAGACCAAAGTTATGGCACGTAACTGCGGTGTGTAGCGTAGAGAAAGAGATAAAGAGAGAAAGAGAGAGAGAAAGAGAAAGTGTGTGTGTGTGTGTGCGTGAGAGAGAGAGAGAGAGAGAGAGAAAATATGAGAGAGGCAGACTCCTCCTCATAAAGCACGCTTTTCGACCTCCTGTAAATCGATTTTCGATCCTGAAATGTTCGAAGCGTGTAGTTAATTTGAGGACACGATATTTTATACTTGATTGATTTCTCTTTATCGTATTATTTATATCGTTAATAGGGCGATAAATAGTATAACAATGTGGTCTCGTTCAAAATGAATGATTAAAGATAATAGATATACCTATTAGTCCAGAAGTAAAGGTTTTATTTTTCGATAATGAATTTAGAAGGTTTCGAGATGTAACTTCACGTCGGCCTTGGTTCAAGGTTATTGATAAGAATACAAATAAAAAAATTATTGGAAATTTGATAAAAATGGAATAGGATTGTACCGATCCTTGCGCCAAAATGGTTTTGGGGAATTAAATTATTTGTCTTTCTCTTTAACGCGAAAATATGAAATCAAAGGAGAAGATTTTAGGGGTAAGTTCTTTTTTAGATAGAAAAACGATAGAGAAGACGAGTCGCTTATCGGTAATAATGGTCATTCCGTGGCCAATGACTCAACGCAATTCCCTGAACTCACATCTTTCTATCATTCTTACCAGTACCCTTTTGCCCATCGTCCTATATATTAGATTATATTCTATACCTATAGTATATAGAGGTATATAGTATATATATATATATAAATGTAGTACATATCCTGAACCTTCTCGAATCGTTTATCTATTTGTCCATCAATCCGTCTCTCTCTCTCGCTCTCTCTC